GAATAGGCCTTGGGCTATTGATGGTGATTCTGTCTTCCTATTGTGGGATTAGAGGAGGTCAGAACATGTGGCCTCCTTACCCTTTTTTTGCAGGTACTAACTGACACAGGGAGACAAAGAAGTTGGTTTATTTCTGCCTGGGCTATAGGTAAGGAAATAAAATGTCTCCTTAAAATATTTATAATCTTGGGCCTATACCTTACAGGAATTTGGGGCTCAAAGTTACATTAGTTATATAGTCAAGGAAACCCACAAGCCAAGAAATCAACATAAACATGGATGGTTCAGTGGTTAAAGCACTCATTTACTAACCAAAAGGTTGGTGGTTGAAACCAACCAGTTGATCATTGGGAGAAATATGTGGCAGCCTTGGAAACACTATGGACAGTTCTATCTACTCCACCTTATGGGGTTGTTATGAATCAGAATCAACTGGACAGCAGTGGGTTTTGAAGTGGGTTAAAGTCAGTTATAACACAGAGTTCCGGGAAGAAGCAAACACAAAACTCTTTGGATAGTATTCCCACAATTCTGGACATAGACATTCTCTTAGGGAATAAAACTCTTGTTAACAATAATCTCACACTGAAAAAAAAAAAAAAAACACCTCACCATCAAAAATGACAAGAAATAATCTACTGTGAACAAGAGTCAAGAGACACACAGTAGGGTAGCTGAATTAGACAACCAAGAACTTCAGAAAAGAGAAAGACTTATCTGCTTTTAAAATAATCCACCGAGGAGGGGCATGGGAAAATAGGATGAAACAAATTTTGCCAAATGTTAATAATTACTGAAGCTGGATGATGGGTATACTGTGGTAGTTAAGGTTGTGTGTCAACTTGGCTGGGCCTGGTTGAGTTGCTGGGCAGCTGGTGGTAGTTATTCCCCATGCTAAGACTGGAAATCAACTCCATGGTGGGATTGACCACAAGCAGCTGAGTGGCTGCTTTGGGTATGTGGTCTGCTTCCCATATATAAGAAGCAGTTTTGGGAATGGTCTCTAGTTTATGGCACATTTGAACCCTGCATGTAGCCCAGTCATTGTTCAGTAGCCTGCCCTGCTCTGCCGATCTGGGATTCGTTGAAAGTATGGACTTGAATCAATGGCCTGCTGTGTTGTTTGGTAACATTGGGACTGTGCCATTTTATTTTTCTACTTTGGGCTTGTCAGCCTCAGCAGCCAGTAGCTGCCTGAGTGAAAAGACGCCTCTAGCTTCAGTGGGCCGGGAGCAGGAGACAGAGCTGAAG